AAAGTGGTCCTTGCCGTATGTCACTTTAGATATAAACACAAACACGTATAAGGTGCAGACAAACCGAGACTAATAATCAGAGATTCCAACTATCGATATAGACACCCTGGCGACACTGACGAATGCAACTCTTTGACTGCATTTGAGAATAACTCTAGTACTGTTCAAAGCAGCTTTAAACCCAACTCACCCACACACTTACAGGGACATTTGAGCATGTTAGTGGCCTCTTTACCAAAACGACACATTGAGAAACAACAACTGAAGTCAACTCTGTCTTCATTTATATCTATTGGTACATGAGTAGCTTTATCAATGGACATACACGCCAATTAATATGAGCGACAAAAACACAATTCCATATTCAAAAGAAATTTCGGTTGTACGATTTCAACCATATCACGAGCATGTGTTTTTGAACCAGGTGAGTGAGTGAGTGAGTGAGTGAGTGATTGAGTGATTGAGTGAGTGAGTGAGTGAGTGAGTGAGTGAGTGAGTGAGTGAGTGAGTGAGTGAGTGAGTGATTGAGTGAGTGAGTGAGTGAGTGAGTGAGTGAGTGAGGGAGGGAGGGAGGGAGGGAGGTTTACGTCGCCTTTTGCAATAATCCGGCAATATCACGGCGGGCTTCACATATTGTACCCATGTCGGGAATCGAACTCGGGTCTTCGGCGTGACGAGCGAACGCTTTAACCACTAGGCTACTCGACCAACAACTTAGGTGACACTAAAATTATTCATATATATTCATGTTAGATGCAACCGATCTTGAGAAGTGTTTCTTGAAAATAACCATGTTATGAACCTTGTAGAGAGTGGATGTATTACCATACAGTTCTTTTTAATATTCAAGCAACATCACGGAAAGAAATCCGAGAATGAACTTCATATGCTGTGTCCTTGAGGGTCTTCCCATGTCCTATGAATACTGTAATCAATCGGTTACCCGATCACCTTTTTTGTACATACATGTATTTCAACAGGATAAAAGTACATTATATTTCCAAAGCTGTAGTATATATTAGTTCCTGTATATCGCCACCTGGGAAATTCAAACTGAGCCGGCAAACCAGAGATAAATGTATTTCAATTCATTTTAACAAGGGTACTGAACTCACAGAACAAATATAGAGAAATTGTCAAACTTCGTTTGTGTGTAAAACACGCATCATTAAACCTAATTGTTCTATCTTCAGATGTCACTATTTTTATACAAGCTTTATTTTCCTAACTATGCATTTATTTATTCTATATCAAAAGTATATAACATAAGGGAATCGATAATGTACGCTATGAAATTGTTGCCTTTGTATAAGTTTTTACTGCATTCACGTACAGTTCTAGATAATGAATGCTACAAGGCAAAGTGACATATATACTGACCCCTATGATTGGACAACACTGCTACATCAGTGGCATGATCTCTTGTCCGCGTCGCAATAGCTGTTATCACTGAAGTACTGTATATTGGTGATTACGCCTCCTTGGCCTACATTCATAAAATCGACTCGTATACATTGTTTGTTACATTTTTCTTCATACAAGTCACCTTGGTCATACTCAAATGACACAAACTTGAACATATTACAGTGTACACGGAAAGCAAATGGGGACATGTGTCACAGTTTCAGAGTGATGTCTGTCTTCAAAGTCATGTCGACTGTTATCATCTTCACTCACTTGCTTTATTATACTGTTGCACATGACAAAGAGTATCGTAATCATAAGAAACACAAACGTGCATTTTATATGATCCAAGCACAATGCATAGGTGAATAACTAAAATTTACATAATATCTTGATAAGGTGATTAAATGCATTCATTTAGTGAATTGAACGTCAGTTTGGATGGGTTCATTGAAGTGTGAACGATTAAAGAGCGCTTGTTAAACTGTGTGAACCTCCGAGCTTGCAAACCAATTTGGACGATGCGGAATGGACTGGTGGGGATTGAACCGAGTTTTGTGTTAATTGTCAACGTCAGGGAGGGTTATATTTGGAGTTTGGGATTTATCGCGCGTGCTGTAATGCTTTGCTTGGCTGGTGTTTCTTGTCACCTGAGATGGACTTACTGTATAACCTGATGCCAGCTTCATTACTGTGCCCTGTTACTCGTCATATGCCGCCGCTTCTCGGCCTAGAATGCACGGAGGAGGTCGGCTAACACAGAAACCGGAAAAGTAGATTTCTAATTCCGTCTATGGATATTTTCTCGTCTCCGATGACCAATAGATAAAACAGGTGGGCAAGTTTTGGGGGATTTCAGTTTCTTTCCTTACCTTTTTATGTTTTATGCTTTCTCAAAATCTTAGATTTTTTTTCCCGATAGATAGTAAATCGGATTTTAGTTTGGGATCGATCAGGAGGAATCGCGTTTGCTCTGTGTCAGCGGCCACATCTGAGTAGGGTACGACGTTATTTTCATTGGTGCTAGATTCATGTCATTTCCGAAAACAAGGCATCAAAGTCAATATAGCTTAATAAATCAATTTCGTTCACATCAGTAATTTTTACAGAATTATATTTCTTCACTTGCGATATAAGTATTAAATGATTCCATATCCAAGATTATTGCACTTATAGCGACGTGCATGTACGTGTGTGTGTTTGTACTAGTCCAGACTGATGCCGATTTATAGTCCTAGCTCACTGAGATACCATGCAGCAGTTTAACATGAATATCCCACTCAGACACAGTATACTGACTCCCAGCCGGCCAGTCCTTGTTTTAACCCCTTAATGCCGAGCGCCAGACAGGTTAACAACAAGAACCATCTTTTAACGTCTTTTGGTATGTCGCGGCCGGGGATCGAACCCCGGACCTTCCGCTCTCCGGGCGGACGCTCTACCACTAGACCACGGATACGGTCGTCAATCACGAGAACCAAAGCATTATTTATTTATAAGTCAGATGAAATGTTACAAGACCAGGACAAAATACTAAGTTAGTTATAAATGATAAATGCGGGTATTAAAAAGAAAACACCGATAGAGAATTCGGGAAACCCCGGAAAGTAGTTCCGTCAAAAGTTCACACGATCAATTTCAAAAAATTTTGTTCACATCGTGTAAACTGTTTTTGTCCGTTCACAGGTGTGTGAATTCCAAATATCAGATCACGTGACTACCCCTTCAGCCAATCAGCATGAAAGAAACAATGTAAACTTCAAAGTATGAAATTATATACATATGTATCATTACTTACTTTTCATCAACACATAAAGTATATTGTAGTAAATTCTTCAGGTGGTTATGATACTTTAGCTGATAATTTATCACTTATTGTTCGCGTGTCATGTTATCAGATAGTGCATGCGTTAATGTAAGGTGACATATAGACACCTCCTATGATTGGACAAAACTGGTACATCAGGCGCGTGATCTCTTGTCCACGTGACGATAGCTGTTATCATTGAACTATATTGGTGATTACACCTCAAGCTCTTGAACTAGATGGATAAACTTGACTCGAAAACACGTTTGTCTGTAACATTTTCCCTTTTATACCACATGTACTTGCAGTTGGTATACATTAGAACAGTAACCCACAACCAGTATAATTATTATATGAAATCAATGATTGATTAATACTTCGAAATAAGACATTCTTGAGCCATAACATTAACTGACAATAAATGTCAATATGTTTGTTGCAGAGAATCGCGAGTCTTCATTCAACTGCGTCGATCCTGATAACGCACATAACAGCATGAGAAGAACCGTTTTATCAAATAGATCAAACTTTAACCACGTGTCGCGAGTTGACCCTTGATTGAGCTCTGAGTATTGCTTATACCAACCTACTGTTTGATAATCAACATGCGTACAGACAACACATCGTTCAGCATACATTGATCAGACGAGGTGCTCAGATCATATTGCTGTGATTCTTTGCTCCAAGCATGCCTGCCAACATGACGAGTTATGCATACAATGCATACTGAGACATCAGGCTTCCTACGTTTCTCTGTCGCCAAATGTCAATTCTGGTTGCACTATCTGGTAGATTGTACACAGGGGTCACATGGATATGTGATAGGTATGGGCACAGCATGTTCCATACATCTGATTCTTGCATCAACCCGTATTGGTTATTTTTAAATCAATGGAATGATGTTTTCAACAGAAAAGAAATCTTCATACAATCCCCGCTCCCTGATATTCAAATGACACAAATTTGAACATGTGATATTGTACACGGAACGCAAATGAGGGCATGTGTCACAGTTTGATTGTGATGACTATATCTGCCTTTCGCCATATTATCTGTCTCAGAAGTAATGTCACTCACGTGCTGACTCGCCACAGTTAGCGTTTTCTAATAGCTATGCATGTACGTGTATTCTGTGTAATCCCAGCACCCGCTTGCCTGCTTGCTTGTTTGTTGTTTAAAGTCACGGCAAGAAAGGATTGCTGAAGACCTTTTCTATCCCGGATCTTGACGGGTCCTCAGCACAGGCAATACCTGAAGAACTAAAATGACTGTATCATGAAAGATGTGTTGTTGCTATCATATACATGTACATCATTACCTACACATATTATTCACATGAATCGTGCTGTTGCATAACCATTTACGTGGTTATAATACTTCCGCTGACAATTTACCTCTCCATAATATATATACTACCAAATATTAGAACAGAGACGCAAGGTCTAACAGAACGACACTAAAAGACCAGGAAGGTGTTTAATTACCGTTTCAAACTGAGGTGCAGGGTTCAGAGGAGTAACCTGCCATTCTATTTTAATCACTGTTTGCAAGATACATCATATTTCATTGATCAACAATAATAATCTGTAATCCTAACTAACTGTGTGTTAAAATAATCTGCTGACTAAAATTGGATTGGGAAGGGTTAATTATTTCTAATATTCACTAACTGATATTGGTTACTTCAATCAGGCTCATACATGACATGCACTTTGGTGTAGTGAGAGCTGATAACCTTACAGGTTATCCATTGGCTAGTCAAAGGTTGCTTTTGTTTAAAGCCTTGTTTCTGTTCGTGGTTGTGAGATATGTCCCACACTCCAGAGTGTGCAGCAACGCACATCTATTGGTGATGATCATCAGAGTACTACGCCACTGAAGGTGAGTGGGAAAACCCCTTACATGTTTCGTGAATAAATTACAGTTCCAAAGTTTACTATCAAACTTAGTTTTAGAAACTTTGCCCTGATACATTACAAAACTATTTAAAGTCGTAATGTTGTTACTCGAGCATTGATGCAAAACAACCCGCATGATCTTCTAGATATTGGAACGCTATTGGTTTGCTATTTTTATTGTGCACGGTTGTTCCAATGGGATACCCGATTATACTTTGTTCAAAATATGCAGGTTGATATTATTTCATATGAAGCACATGCTGGAGTAATGCAAAGATAACTTTCATTACCGTACGAACAACATTCCTGACATTATGTTTGGTGACGTCCGATAATAAAGGAGGCACATCATATCACTGTTGGCATCATGTTAACATAAAAGCAGGAATATTGCAGCCTGATAGCGATACCTGCCAACAAAGGCTGTAGGCTGTTGATGTAACACTGTTTTCAAACGCCAGGTCTTTGTGTGGAAAGGTATTTTGAATTTGAGGTATCGAATGGACAAATAAAAGAGTCAAGTCTTTTTCAGTATCATGGTGGAATTGTATATACCATTTGATGCTTGTGGCTGTTATACTTTTATTTGATCCAACTAAATTAATGGCTCGGCTGTCAAAGGCACCACAATTAACAGTGCAGAGGTAAATACCACAACCATTACATGATACCCGTAGTATGCTTTCCAATCCTGATTTTGACAAATGATTTGTTAACATGATATTCATGTTCATGTGATCAACATGTGACTGAGGCTCAGCCCATATCAATGTTACAAAAACCTACTCTTCCTTTATAACTTGTCTTAGTGCGTACATTGCCTTAGCTGGTGAAGTAACATTTCCCTTATACCAGTATATTGTCTTAGCTAGTAATGCAACGTTTCCCTTACATCTTGTCCTAGCTGATAAAGTGACTCATGGCTTGCCTTTTGTCCTGCCTTATCATGAATTATTATGATTAGTATCACTGGGCTTTTAGCACCAAACCCATGTTCCTGGAGTTGATCAAAGTGATGGATCTGATGGACCTTGATACAACGTAAATGTTGAAAAGAACCCACTCACTACACAGAGGAAGATCATATTTGGCTACCTTGTCGTGCCTTTGTATTCTATTTCAAAAGATAGGACAGTTTTATCCGAGTAGTTGTGTTAATGATTGAACACTATGTGTCATATATAGTGAGTGTTGGTTGTTGGTTTGTTTGTTGTTCAACGCCGCACTGAGCATTTTTCCAGCTATATGACGGCGGTCTGTAAATAATCAAGTCTGGACCAGACAATCCAATGATTAATATCTTGAGCATCGATCCACGCATTTGGGATCGGTGATATGCATCAACCAAGCCAGCAAGCCTGACCACCCTATCCCGTTAGTTGCCTCTTACGACAAGCATAGTCGCCTTTTACGGCAAGCATGGTTTGCTGAAGACCTATTCTACCCCGGATCTTCACGGGTCTATATAGTAAGTGAGTTATATTTTAATGTCATATGATGAATAAAGTGACGAGATCGATCAATATAGTCAGTAAAACAGTCAGGTATATACTTCAGATAATTATAAGTCACAAAGTGAATATATTTAGAGAACTATAATCACTAACCGTATAAGCGCAGGTCACAACAAATCTACCGTGACGCCACCTTATGTTGAATCATGCGAACGTACAATACCCCTCTCTCATGTATGACATCCAAGCAGGTTTAAAGACATCACTTTCACTACAAATGGTTGCAGGCACTGTTCTAAATGTGTAATTCCCTATTCTCAACAGGAACGACACTGCATGTTATAATGTTGTATATGTACAGTTGCATTCCCTTATGGAGTAAACATGAAATTAATGGCATTCTTCTATTATATGAAAAGTTGGTCATAATCGTCGGTAAACCATTAAAGACGTCTTCATATAATAATTACCTAGGGCAGATATTTTCAACAAGATTATCTTGAACAAAGTGTAGAGTTACTCTTGTTAACAAAGCTAGTAAGCCTCTTCTGGTTATTTAAAAGTTAAAGAGTAAATTTCCAAATTTGTTTATAAATGTATTATTTAAATTAAAAAATGCAGACAAAGCTAATGTTATTATTTGGGGCTGAAGTAAGGGGATTTCAAGAAAGAAAAGTTGGAGATAGATTGCACACAAACTTCTGTAAATATGTTTTAGGAGTTGGTAAATAACTCAAGTAATGTTCAAGTAATGTTATTTAGCAGAACGCGGGAGAACAGGCATATATTATTATTGAAAGGTGTAGCTTTTTGTTGTAAATTATGGAGAAGACCTGAGGATCGTTATCCCACACAATGTTATTAACTGATGAGAAAGTTAGACGTGGCAGGAAGACAGACCTGGCGACAATGTGTTATAGCATTGTTATGTTCAACTAGTATGCTTCAACTATATGCTTTACCTTTGCAGTGTAATAACAAAAGCAATACTTTGAACGATTAAGTGGAATCAGTAAACTATGTGACAGCAGAGACCATATAATAGTTACATGGTCTCTGGTGACAGCAGATACTCCATTTCATGTTTGAACGTAAAGCACATAATTCATTACGTGTTATCTATCAAAATAGTTCAAATGTAGTAAAAATTGCAATGCTATCAAATTACTATCACGATTCAATCATTTGAAATATGTATGTTGAAGACGCCTCAAAGTGTAGGTAATCATTATTACCCACCCCAACACCCCGTCATAATCACTGCTCTGTTGTATTCATGAGTATTGTTGACTGTGTTGTACATAGGCCGATTGCCTGAAACGAATATAAACATGATTTGACTTGAGTAGGAATGACATCAGCAGAAAAGTAGGATGCAACACTGGAATGCCAATTCCCATATGTGCTTTCTATGAACAGCTGATGATGAGGGCCGCATGTGTTGGAAGGACATTATATATATGAAAGGGTAAGGGTTAATGGATCTATCGTTGGATTATAAGTTTCCGGACATCATACGTTTTCGGACGGCTAAGCTTATCGCGCTTTATCGCACTATGACGATGGGTGTGGCTTCACAAAGCTATTGTAAATACTCGGATAGTGGCTTCTTTTTTAAGATAAAGCTGTTGTGGGATCTTTTACTGTTGTTTGTGTGATTCGAGAGAAAATGGCGAAAGCGTCATTAACATAATCCCATAACACAAGGATATATGCTTTGTAGTTTTGTTTGTTGTTTTACCTCCAATAGTATCACACATTAGCATTACCCTGTATGTATATGTAGCCATGTGTCATGTCCATCAGCGGCACACGGCTGACAGGTTGTATTGTAGTGTTGTGTAATGGTCTTTCTTATTTCTTTGTCTTGTGTTGTCCCTCATGTTGATACAACAGACTACCTGCACATTGTTGCACCCTCAGTCCAAACATACCAAGTTGCAGCAAGACCAGAATCTGAAAGTTAGATCGCTTGTTTATTTTGGCATACTTATGATTAGTAAAACACAGGAATGCTATGCATATATAAGCATGTAAATGGGTTATATTTATCGAGCATCTTTGTCTACATATGTGCACATGTGTACATTGTATGCAACGACGTTACATTTGGGACATTCAACCTTTTCAAACTTAATTTAGTTACCTGCTTATTGAGCGCTAGTCGCATTGCTTTTCATGTTTGACTGAAAGAATGAATGAACCGTCATATGATACTTACCTGTTTGTGTACTTAAGCATGGCTGTAATTATATGAGAGACACGATAATACAGCTGAAGGTTTGTTACAAGCAACGTAAAACCCAACTCACTCACTCACACAACACGAATGTGTAAAACAGTATATGATATATGGAGTATCTGATTGTATGCGCATAGTGAGTCTGTGTATCATCGTTGTGTGCTGCAACTAGATAGTACTAAACAGCTGACTACATTTTGTTGTTGGTATTAGATTAGTGATGAATCAAACATAGGCCAAAAGGCTGTCCCACCTCCCATATATGTGTTTGATAAGACTGTTCTGTTTGATAAAATTAAGTTTAAAGTGTAAACATGTAGGACATTGAAAACGTTTAAATTGTATTCATGTAAACAATCATACATACTTTTGTAATATTGTTGTTTAGTACACACATTACATCTTACATGTACCTACAGATATGAACAACATGTCTGTTTTGTAGTGCGAGTGAAGCAGACTGATTGACTTAGGGCTGGGTGTTATAATGTCATTGTTCCAAATATGACACAGGTTGACAGTGAGTAACGTTGATATTGTAATGCATTTGGTGAATATGTGCATGTGTACATGTTGTTGTATATCATATTGTAATGTGCCGCCTTAGATACGTGCACAATAGCTTGATACGTGTCGCTTCGTTTCTTGAAAACATTTCTACCACGCTCATTTAAGTTTTCTGTCTTGCAGAATGGACACCTTCCCGAAGTGTTCTGTCTGTCAGCTGCAGTTTACCCTGAAAGGTCCAGCCCCCTACTTACTTCCCTGTCTACACGCTGTGTGTGAGACGTGTGTGACATCTGCAGCTGGCGGTGTGATATCATGCTCAACATGTCAGAGGAAGGTCAACCTCACAGACACACGTCTCCCGACGGATGTAGTCAGACAGAAGGAAATATTTCACCTGACTGTCAAACATCGCCCGACAGAGCTCCTCTGTACAAATAACGATGATGGAAACCAGGCTTTATGTTGGTGTCAGGAGTGCGAAGAGTTCCTCTGTGAATACTGCCAGAACATGCACAGCAGCTTCAAACTTACCAGGAAACATGTACTTCAAAACTTCAGTGACATGGTACCAACTGTCTCGAACATTCCAGCCTTCTGTAGTATCCACAAACACCACCTCCTTTATCTGTTTGATAAAAGCTGCAAGAAGTTAATCTGTGCGAAATGTAGGTTTGATGATCATACACATCATGAAGCGGTGGAACTAGATGTAGTTGCTGACACTGTAACAAAACAGCTGGACCATCGTAAGAATGAACTGTCAAAGTTACAATCTCGCCAGCAATCACACATGCAGAGCATCAGGCAAGGAACCGAATCCATCCACAGAACACAAAACACTTTGAAAGAAACTATTGGCCACACATTCCAATCTCTGAGATCACAACTTGACCAAAGAGAGAAGGACATTCTGATCGATCTTGAAAGTCAAACGAAGGAGACCAAGTCAACTCTACATGCTCGTCTAAACACCTGTGAAGAAGATTGGAAGACATGTACTGGGCTTTTAGACTACATCAACACTATCCTTCTCTATGCCTCTAAGTCAGACCTCGTGGAACTGGAGAGTTATGTAGGGGACATAACTCGTACCTACCTAGAAACTGCTGCCCCTGAATCATATGTCGTACCTTCAGCTGTCTTCAACACCAACAGCTTGTCAAAACTGAAATCAAACATATCAGTGTTTGGTGCCATTTTGCCAAGGGAAGTGGAGGAGGAATCTGTAAAAGGTATTCACATTGAACATCATTTCAGGTTTATTCATTCTTGGTATGCGTACAGTTTTATGTGACGTTCTATTTTGTTTACAGCCCCTCTGTTTTCTTCATGTGTTTCTCTATTTAACACTTATGCTTTGTTTTGAAAGATTTAATGTTTGTAGACTGCACATAACACGTTCCCGATATTAATTGTCGGGGGTTATTAATCTGTTGTTCCAGACAAGGATACTCAGACTGATGATGACTTTATTGAAGATCTCGAAATGAAACACAAAATGGTGAGTATAGACAGTGGTGTTACATCAAGAATTCTTGCTTGCACACTGACCAACAAACTAGCCAAATAAACATTGTGCCAAAGAATATTTGCCTCAATCGCCATCACTATGTTTTATCATATGGAGAGAAGTGCATCAGGCCATTGAACGCTTGTATTTTTGCAGGACCTAACAGAGCTGAAGACGAAAATTGATTCAGACGAGAAACATATTGAAAGCCTTAAAACATTTACAGGCAGGCTCAAAGACGAAATCAAAAGCATGAAATCGGTTTATTTTTATCATCTTACATGCATTCACACCTTTTGGCATGTCAGCGTCTACCCTTATATTCAAATATGTTTGTTACAAAGGAAATATCACATTCTGAAATCACAATATTTTAAACATTTTAAAGTTGTTGTGCGCTATTTAACACAATGATTCCCTGTCCTTCATTTTAAACCTTCAGTTAGGATTGATCATTTGTTATGATGGTGAGTGTAACTGTGTGTGCGTGTATTTGTTCTCTGAATAATAATAATCTTAAAGCGCCTTTCACTACACATGAGTGTGTCATTTGATGAGAGTGTCATGAATCCTTGATATAGATGGCAACCGTTAATGATTGCATGTCTTTGAAATCCTAGACCCATGAGATGCCATAACACGCACGTGCTTTGTTAGATAATACATGTGCTATATTTTCAGTGCATTAAGGAGAAGGAAACCACCGAGAAGAGAGCCTCTAAAACCATGGATGTCTTACTTGGTAAGTTTGTATCACACTTCTTCTTTGGCCTCCCTTAATCACATTATCTCAGATACATTTGATAACTAAACATGCATCTCCATGTCCGTGAGTGGTAAACAGAGTAAAACCCACACACGAAGTCCCCCTGTCTCATCATACATATATATGGTGATGTATATATTGATGTTACAGGTGTGGCCAGGGAATGCGGTGTTCATCTGCTGAAGTCAGACGTTGTAGACAGATCTATGGTGCTGAAGTGTGAGTACATTTATCATGTATCTCCTTCGATATAGGTTTTGATGTACATCGTGTTCAAGTATTATAAAACGACAATACGTATGGAACGTTTAGTCACCCACTACGAATGAGGGCCATAGAGTAATAAACTGGCTCATGCTTGGGCTAATGAAGGTCAGGGGCTGGCAGTCTTTGTTTGTCATTGGCCCATGTTAATTACTTACAGGACACGTTGGTAACTGTGTACAACATCAGTCATTATAGATTAATGTTGCTAAATGATCAATTGACAATGCGTTGGTGTGAAGTTGATTCATTAATGATTATTTGCATACTCTTATATGCACGGGGTCCGTGTACGTTTCTCTGTAGGAAGTGACAACATGGAGTCGATAGAAGGCTTGCGGTATATACACATTGCTTTAGACAGGTAGAAATATATTTATAAAAGAAGCACGAGGTGCCAGGTCAGCACGTTCTGTTTGATGCCACGGTTTCGCCTAATCTAGGCCTTATATTCCTTTGTCACAACTGCAAGACCAGAGATTTTATATCCATGGTCAACAGACACGGATTAAGTCAACAATATTAACAACAGTAAATAATGAGTGACCAAGTTGCACACCTCGTTCAGGATGGCTGACAGTCAATGTACAATACAACTGAGATTAGCATATTTTAAGTAATAGACATATATATTTTATTTTATGGCTACAGGGTAATTAGCCTTTGTTCATGCAGACAAAGGTTGTCCCAAATCGGTCGCTACAACAAATCTTACCCCCCATATCTTCGTCTTGGAAATGTTTCAGTAAAGTGAACCAATGACAGTGGCCATCAGTAGACATCCTCCCCGCCTCAGATATCAGTAAAATATAAGTCAGAGGGGTGAGTGAGTGCGATTGGGTAGCAGCTTAATATGGGTGGAGATCCCGAAGTAATGTAGGTCTTAGACCTTCAACCTTTTGATGAAGAACCCATGAGCTGACAAATGATATTCTGGGCTAATTTTGGAATCAAACCAAAGATCACAGAATTCTGGCTCGCCTTGTTTGAAGTGACACATAACGAATTGCGGCGGCTAAGTAAGAAGTAAAACAAACATAGTATACCCTGAAGTCCAGTGCCTTAGGGACACAAAAGAGTGAATGTGCGAATTGGGTTTAACGCCTCTTTAAAAAGTATTTCTGTGATATACCGACATGTAAGCTTGTATGGGAGGAACGCACAAAGTGATACAGGTATTAGGCAGTTGTCATGTATGAGGTGCTGACAAACATGATCAGGGAGAATCTGGGATCAGAATCCACGATCATAGGTTTCTGAATTCGTCAGCTAATTGGTGTGCCAGAGGCGACTTGGCCACTAATCCCCCGATATGAAAGCCATTTGGTAGAATTAACTGCTAACAATTTACGTAATCTCAAACTTTCACCCTCCCTGCTTTTAACAGTTACACACTTTTGACTAGGCACTACATTACTAGAGATGCTTATTTTACAATTGCTGTAACTGAATTAAGCTGTGACGTGATTATTAATAGTACTTACTAATTACACGCCTCCGAGACAGGGCAATCGTAGCTCTGTGAGTTCAAGCTTACACCTGTCACACCTTACAAGGTTTCCTGATAGTGTTACACCAATTACGGACAAGATATACAGTGTTGAATAGGGTCATAATGTACACTGATTCCAGACAAGATATACAGTGTTGAACACGTCATTATATACACTACTGCCTAAAAGTTCATTCCCCTAACACGCGTTGAGAACGCGTGTAACACGCATGTGACACGGGTGCTCAACGGGTGCTCAACGGGTTGCCACGTGTGCCACGCGTGTAACACGGGACCGGGTTCCAGTTGAAGTTGACAAAATTATCAAATGAATAGTGAGATAAAACAAAACAGTGAGATGTGAAATTTGAGTTAATGAGCGGCCATTGAGCTGTGTTCACCAGACCGTAAATACAAGGTCGGCCCGTCTTAATTAGTGTTCGGTTGTTAGACTTTTATGGCATGAACCATTCCACTAGGGTCCAGTCTAGCCATTGTGGCTAGCCGACAGTAGAACAGTATTGAATTTAGATGCGAGTTTATTGCTAGGGGAACCCCCGTGTTGACACGATTGTCGCGGGTTGGTAAATGTTCGCCATTAATAAAATGATTGTTTGTGGATTTTCGAACATATTCATTTGCCCACACGAGTCATTCCATTTGATTGCAAATATAACGTTTTTCGTTCGCCAAATTTATGCTTTAGACAGTACAATTATGATATAGCCGTCACCACTACTAATGTCTCATTATTTCACGTAGGAATATGTCCCATTTCCCCACACCCCACTTGCTGTGTTGTATTTTGAAAGAATAAATAAAAGAAGGTTTTGTGTGGGACACTTTTATACTAATTATAAGAGGATGTTGTAAATGAATATGAACAGCCATGCTGTCTGACTGTTGATAGAATTTGAGATCTTCACAATCACCGGGTGTGACCATGTAGACAGAATCTCGTTAGGGTTTGTGATTTTTACATTTGCCCAATGACCATAGTGAGTATTGCTGGGGATACCAAACGTAACAGTTTATTATTAGAGGTTGTGAGTACCTATACCACGTAGATAGGATATATTTAGGATTTTAATCCTTCTTTGAGAGGCATTTAGAAGTTGGAGTACTACGTTAGGATAAGATTTATGAGTGACTTTAATCCTTTCTTTCTCTGTGGGTAATCCTTTCACGTTGATTGGAGGAAGTCACTCAACCAGGTCATGACAGGTCGTGCGTTTACTCACTAACTACTGTGAGCGTTTTTGGCATAACATCTTTTCTTGTATAAACATAGAAACGATGCTCACTCACTGTTAATCTTCTGCAGTTTGCTGGCAAAGTGGAGATAAACCTCAGTGTCTTACTTACTTACTTACTTACTTAAGTAAGTAAGTTGGGGACATGTTCATAAACTTGGCAAGTGATGATGAATTTTAATATTGATATTATTATAGTTTATGAAATTGTTAATAAAACTTTAATAATAAAATTGTGCTTCACTCTCACGAAAAATATATTGTCTGTGAGTAAATTTATATGTCAAGTTTCATCGGCATTTTTCAGTGATATTGGGACTACATGAAACATGGCTGGTTTTACATTTCTGATACAGGTGCTTGACTGACTGAGTAGTTCATGATCAATTAGATATGTTTAAATCAGTCAAGTTTGCAACAATAGATGAATAAGTTGATACATTTGGACCGCAGTTACCGATTAACAACTTAAGACATAGAGACAGGGAGGAGATATATAACCAAACCTATGGTCCTGTTGAGACAGTTGACAGTTAGAACGTTGGATTAAATGACAGTAACTAATTTGAACATTCCCCAGTAATATCATAAAATACATCATAACTCATAACAGTCCGAGAAACAGCTTCCAGCCATATACTAGAATTGAAGGGACAATCGCTTTTGACAGTTTAAAAATAAACTCACCTTAAGGTGCTTGGCAAGTCAAAACTGACCTCCCTGAATATGTTTTTTAGGTTTGACAGCAACTATGCTTCTGGATTTCAGAGATAGACATGATTTGTTAGCTAGATGTTATTACAATAAGCGAAAATGTCTTAAAAGTCCACAGTTTGTTTAATAGTACAAAAAGTGTGTTATAGATCTATCAACGTTTTCTTTTATTGAACATAATATTTGCACTATTTGCTGTAAGCTGTAAATAATCTAGCCTCCCCATGTACGTAACTTACATATATTTATGTATGACCAGAACAGCAAATAAAGTTCTGGTAGATAGGTACCTCGGAGATTTAACGTGCGCTTTCCGACTTAAGCCTATCTCGCACACGGGGAAGCACTTATACTATCAGGGTAAAAAAGCGTAATGATTAAATAAAGAAGTGCACCCCCCCCAAAAAAAAATATAAGTTTACAGCCTATTCTAATAAAGTTAAAGGGGTTGGGGTTTGGCTGGGTGGGAGTGGGTGATAAAAGAATATTCAATAATATGGAAAAGTTTGGGTCGAGGGGGGGGGGGGGGGGGGGCAAGCGTGGGAAGGCACGGCGTCGGCTGGCGAGCATGTGTGGCTAGAAGTCTAGCGGCGGTATCCTTCTAGTAGTCTCTTGGTCAGCTTCTCATCCTGGGGGGTGGGATTCTGGTAGAGACTCTTCGCAAGGAGGGCGGCGATATTGGCGACGAAGTGGTTTGAGGTCGGTACGCCACTACTCTGGAAGAAGTGGTGCAAGTCTGTGTAGTTTGTGATGTCGTACTCGATGTCCTGTCCCCCCTTCTTGTGCACCATGACGAAAGGGACTCCTTGTTTGGCGTAGAGATGTTCCTTTGGGGTGTTGATCTGGTCAACCTTGAGATCCGGCCGGGCCTGGTAGTGGTTGATCGGAATGTCTGACTTTTCCACTAGTAATTAAAGTTCTTTGGTATGACCTCTTTTATCCCTGCTGACGTTATCCTAATGTTCAATTTCAGTCTGCCTCACCAAGCGTAAGAAAGCATTGTACATGTTCTGATAAACCACACTGATGCAATTAAGCAAATGAATATTTGCTGTGGGCAAATATCTATTTTCTATATATATATTTGTGGATATGAAGCATTCTAGTTAATTGTGGATACACTGGGCAGACAGAATTGTGTTTATTTCCAGGGCATCCTGATCGTCGTTTACTACTATTAGGTGTATGTTTTGAGGCAAGATCAAAGGCGCCGCACAGCATTTATTAGATAACAGACGGGGTCGTCCGTTTCGCTTTAAACAACCACCCCACCCTGTCTGTAGGAGTTATATAATCGGTGCGCAAATAACTGTGTCAAGTCCACTGCCGGGCTGATCCGGTGTCAGTGTCAGCGATGAACATGAATGCTCAAATTAAAGACCTGTAGCACTCACAAGTTGCTCAGCCAAAATATTTGAAACGTGTATATTCAATTCTCTGATAACAGCAAATATAACCTTAAAAATAGATTCAACATACAAATAATCAAATGTAGA